TCTTGAATTTTTTTTAACTTTGTCAAGAAAATTGAAGTTGCAACCATACTATTTGATCCGATCAAGTCATTGACTTAATTAAAAAAGAAAGAATTGCGTACTAATCAACAAAGATGTTCTACCTTGCCAAGCAAACAAATTATATAATAGAATTAGGTCGTTGACTCCAACAATTTTTGTTTTTTTCCATTCATCTATTGGAGTACATGTTCTAGAATCAAAGTTTTGTTAACATGAAAGATTGCAGAAAGAAACAACAAAAGACCAAAAATAAAGCTATAAACAAGTATGAATTGACAATATATAGAGAAAACTTTAACTTCTCTGTTTGATCTAATCAATCTTCATGAACTTGAATGTGTAACCATGGAAAATGTTTATAAACCCATCACTTGTGGCTTAGGGGGTAGACATGCCATGGAAGAACAACACAAGACAAACGCCGGCTATAAATGCAACCAACATAGATAAAAACGCAACTGTGGTATACTTGATCGTTATTCTTATCAAATGATACATCATGCCTCACACCTAGTAGGTACAAAGCCACATCTGCATATTTTCCTTTCAACGCAGCGTGTAGAGCAGTATCTCCGTTCTCGCTCTTAGTCTTAGCTGAATCTAAAGGACAAGCCATTGTGCATTTCAGTAGATACTCAACAACACTGAGATTCCCTGATCTGGCTGCAACATGAAAAACGGTCTCACCCATCACATTTTTTACTTGAAGAAGATCCTTAAACGTAGAAACTATATACTCCACTATATGAACATGACCCGAAGCAGCAGCAAGATGAAGTATTGAGTTTCCTTGACAGTCAACTCGTTGTTGAATGATCATTCCGTCGTTTGAGATTCTTTTAATGAAGGATTCTTTGTCACCTGCTCTTAATGCACATGGAATCCCATGATTCATAATCTCATAGGAAACAGTGGACGTGGCAGTGTTGCTCATCTCTGAATCCATAGCTTTTAGTTCAGCTTCTAACTTTCGCAATTCCTGAAAACGAGGGCGACGAGGGGGACGGGGGAGATCGATTCTATCTACACGGCCCATGCTACATCAACATCAAATTCGAAACATTAGTAAGAAAATCATTACCCCAAGACTAAAATGTATCCGAACAACAATTAAATCCACAAATACATCATCATATATCTATTTTTTCAACATCTTAGACGCTTTTCAGGGTGTACATTTCGGGTGAGCAAGAGGGTAATAAAAAAAGTGCAGTTCCTTATAATAAAAACACTGTTAGCATCACAACAACATTTGAATCAAGAAACTCCAAGACCTAACCCCAAATAGAATCTAGTTGGGAGAAAAAGATTACCTGGGATGCTTTTTGAAATCCGGAGGATCAACAAACAAGAAGAAGATACTGATACAATGATTGCCGAAAAAGGGGAAAAAAAAAGTCTGCGAGTCTTTCTTTTTTCTTTCAGTCCCCACTAACTAGGCAGGAGGAGTTGACTTTAATATCATCAAGGCAAGCTTTAAAAAGATTCATGATTTTTTTTCATCAGGAAGTTTTGCAAGTTGCCAAGTTGGACTTACTTAATGCTTTGACTTGGTATCTCCAAATCACGCATATGAATTTATCGTTTCCATAAAATTTTAGCCCCTTGACCCTACATCTTAAGATAAGATCTATAACAAAAAATTCATTTTTTTTAAAACCGGAAATTACCCCTGTTCTTCTGAGCAGGTAACAAAACTGAAAGTCTATTCCTACGTTCATGGATTGAGTTCACTCGCTGTCGTTTAGTTCCCCAACTCAAACAAACGGTGCAGATCAGTAACAATCACATAAAACTTCATCATAAACACATATTACTGAAAATCCGAGACATCATACATGACTAGATGAAACCGTGATAAGTAGGAGTAGATAGGTCAAGTTCAGATGCAGATACAGAGCAAAGGAAGACCTTTAACAAAGACTACTACTTCACTGAAAGAATTTGTCGATGCTCGATGCTAATGTGGTTTTAGGCACTGCGCCAATGATCGTATCCTTCTTCTCTCCGTTAACAAAGATCATGAAAGTTGGGATGCTTCTAACACCGTACTTGCTCGGTGTTGCAGGAGAATCATCGGTGTTTAGTTTGTAGAACTTGACCTTTCCTGTGTACTGTTGTGCTAATTCATTCACAATAGGGTCTATCATTTTGCAAGGTCCACACCATGGTGCCCAAAAGTCCACAAGAACAGGCTCATCAGCCTTGAGAACTAGAGACTCCCATGTCGTATCATCGACTATTGGAACTGCAGGTATCACAAATGACAAAACCAAACATTAGTGGTCACTATGTGTTTATAATCATCAATGAAGCGATAGTGAAACAATGTGGTCACTGATCAATTCAAGCACACAGAGATCTGAGAGAAAGTTTCTACTTTATCTTCAAAATTCAGACTTTTCGAACTAACTATAAGGTTTTTGAGAATCTACACAGACCCACTAAAAGACTTCTATCAGGAGACACAAATCAAACCATACAATTCTCAAAATCAAAGAAACAAATGCAAAATCGAGCAAAGAGAGATAATAGAGACGAGAGAACTATACTCCCAGTAGCGGTTTCCTGAGCTTCACAGATAACGCCTCTTCGTAATCGAGAAACCCTAGAATTCTTCGAGACCGAAGACAAAGAAACACGAGTCCTCAATCCTCCCGATTCCGGTAACACGGAGAACATCTGTCGAGTAGAGAGCGAAACCGTCGGTGACGACGATGCGACGATCCTCATCTCTGACCGGAGAGAAATCGGAGGACGAGAAGTACAAGTGAAAGCAGCCATTGTAGAGAGAAGCAACACAGACGATAGATTTCGATTTCTGAGATTCTCCTGAGTTCACAAAATGTAATAATATCCAGAAAAAAAAAAAATGAAATGGATATTGAAAAATGGGAGATAGAAGGAAATACGGTTACTACAGCTAATATTATATTAAACCCGAAAATAAATAAATAAAGCTCTAAGCCCATTGGGCCTTAGTTTCATTAAAGCCCATGTTTATTCATATTACTCGATTAAAATATTATTTCCACGCAAAAGTGAAAACGATGCGTTATTTCGCCGGAGCATCCGTACTCGATTTCTCTCCATCTCTACTGTTTCGCCGCCGTGCAATCGGAGATATTGACCGGAGATTTGTTATGACTTCAGTGAATTCGCGTTCTCCGGCGAGGGAATCCGGCGTATGTGATGACGGAATCGTCACGGTAGATGAGTGGCGGAGATGGGGACCGGTGTCTCCATTTCCAGCTGCGGTCAAACAGATTGTGAATGATTTGAAGGTTCTCGAGTGTAAATTGGATTGTGGAATAGAGTTTGGTGGTAATGGTGGCAAGTTACAGGTAAAATGTC